AGCTGCTGCTGCTGCCGCTGTTGCAGGATCAAGGAAATGAGGTTGTGGATAGACAATAGGCACTCCACCCACTGTTCCAAACTGACTCGTCTTTGAAGGTGGCGATGGTGGAGGGGGCTCGGGTGGAAGAGGAGGCAATGGTGTGGCTGCCATGTGATTGGACGGAAGGTCATAGGTGGGGCATTCTGAATAGACAGAGCTACTTGTTCGGGCCTCAGGACCACGCCTTGCATCTGTCCACTCTGTCTTTACCATCAGATGACGTTTCTCTGTTGCTAGATCACAAGAATGATTTCCAATTGCCTCCAGAGGACCCTGAATTGGATGTTGTGGGCTGGATTCGAGCACTTGGTAGTCTGGAAATTTCGGCAGCCCTGTACTCGTCACCAGTGGGTAGACAGTCTTTGACGGACTCTTCGGATACTGCTGTCGATGACGCATGTATAGGAGGATGTAGCCAATGAGAAAGAGCAGTATAGTTGCAGTGAATGTCCCCACAACTGCTCCTATCAGCTCGAGAATTGTAAATTTCTTCTAAAATAGCCCAAAATTTACTGAACTTCCATCTTCTACCTCACAGGTCCGCATGTGGCAACAGGCCAAATTGAAATAAAATGGGACACATTAAAAAACAGTGTTGACATCCGTGTTTTACATGCTATTTTACCAAAAACTGTGCTGTTCTAATGATTCACACCTCAGTTTCACATCGTCAGCCGCTTTTTGTGTGTGTGTGTGTGTGTGTGTGCATGTCTAGTTTTTGATGGAAGACAAAAACGCAATGGCTACTAATTTGTGGAACAGTTTGAGTTACACCGTGAGTCAGCTAGCGGGGCTATTTTAACTGCAAATAAACGGTTCAAAGTCTAAAACTATTTTACATACAAGGAGCTACTTTTATTTTGTACTATTTTTCCCCATTCCTAGTTCAAATTACTGGGGAAGGTTGAAGACGACTTTCCCCACTCGTGGGTTCGCCTGAGGCTTGAACCCAATTAAATTGTCAACAGGTCTCATGACTCATGACAGGCAACTACGAATGCTTGACAGTGTTTACTCAGTTCCAGGGGTTCTTGCTCTGAATGCTGTTCAATTTTTGATTTGTGAACCAATAATCGGACGAGGGCAAACTGTCATCCAATGACACTGGCACTGATTAAGTGGTCAAGCTAGATAGAACCGAATGTAGGAAAATGGCACTCAAGAATTAAATAAACAGTTCAAGATCTATAAAATGTTTTATCTATAAGAAAATTTGGGTAGCTTATTTGTTTCTTGCAAAAAATGACGCCCTTTTCATAGTTGTGACAGAGGACGTTAAGTGAGGAAAATGTGAACGCACCATGAAAAAGAATTCGTCGAGTCGATCCGACTGAAACTGGCCTTTATCACTATC